TATAAGGGTTTTCTTTACACATGGACCTAATATATAATTTATTAATTTACTGGTCGTCCTCATAGGGCGTCTGGTACTGGGCGTCAAACGTACCACCGCCTCAATACCCTATCCGGTATGAGGGTGAACAATACTTCCCAACCTTTTCTGGTATGGGACTTCTCAGCTCCGATCGACTAAAGTAATGTCCACGATAGAGTTTGCCTATGTATTGAGTCCGTACACTCTTTCCCATGATACTTGGTAAGCCTTTTATACATATGTTCACATCATCAACCAGCCACCATTTATACACAAACATCTAATTTCATATTCACATATCAATGGACAACATTTTAATAGACAATAAAAATCGATACTTTAACAAATAAGAAAAACGCGATTAATGCATTTATTTCAAATCAAACACAGATAGGGATAAACGATTATGTAAATCAATAAACGAGAAGGCAAATAAATCAGTGAATTAAAGTGTATGTGATAAACAAACAAATACAGTATAGCAATAGATAAACAATATAGATAAAATAAGCAGCTTCGTACAGACAAGTTACTGGCTCCACTGGTGACATATATTTAGCTAATTAGGGGTTTCTAACATTCAAAAATTACAATGTTCTTATTTACTAGACTTCAATTAACCGTATCGAGAGAAAAAATTGAGGGATTCTTACCTCAGGGGTCGGTGTTTGAAATATCACCTTTTTCACTATACATCCTAGCGATTCCTGAATTTTTTAGATTTTTTCTGCGAAAATAAAAAATACTTGATATGTATTCTGAAATACCCAAAAAGGCCCAAAATAAGGGTTTTAAATTTTTTTTGACTATTTTAGGGTTCTGGCCTAGCGGTTGCGTCGTGCTCCAGTGCCGGCTCCGCCACCTACGGTGGCATCTCCTCTTGGTCTGGCCAATTTTGATTGGTTTCGGCTGGTTTCATGCGAAAACTTATAAAAATCGAGGTTATGTGGCTTCATAGGCTAGAAAAGGAAAAAAAATAAAAGCATTACCGGTAGGGGAGAAGGGGTTTCCGATGCAATGACTTTACTGTTCCTCTCTTGCGGCTGAGGATTTTCTTTGATTGACTTGCACCATAAAGGATTAGAGACACAACGGTCAAAATATTGGAGGGAACGAGATATAGGATCGAGCTCATCAAAGTGATTTTTGGGTCGCAGCCACGGCGGCTCTGCCGAGCTCTGCTCTCAGTTTTCGGCTTCCCTTTTAGCTTTTTGGTTCTGATATGAGTGTGGGGAGGCTTACAATCAAATTTCGAAATGAAAGGGGAAAAAACTTACCTCCCCGGTGTCAGCGGCGGCCCCGGTACGGTAGCAACGTCGATCGGCTTTCCTTACAGCCACCCTTCTTGTTTTTCTCCAGCGGGTCAGGTGCGACTAGGGTTAAGGTTTCTGGGAAGAGATGCTTAAATATCCTCTCCGTATCGATCTAGATCATCCGTGCAGGGACACGTGACTCACTCCCAGCTATTAGATCGTTCTTATTTGGAGAATTAATCTTGGCCGTATGATCGAATTAAATCTAATCGTTCGATCGCGCCTGAATAGAAAATGGATTTGGGTCGTCTGTGAGTGTGGGAGGAAATTTGAGTTGTTTGATATGCTAGCACGCATATCGCCTGCATGGCTTTCCGCGTGAACGTGTGTCTGCCACACGGCGCACGACGACCAACCATGCTGCTGACGTGGTCCTCGTGGCCAACTTTTAGTTATTTTCACTTTTACACCAGTTTTTTATATATTTTTTTTCAAATAGATCATTCTTTATTTGTAATTCGATCTTGATTTTTGAAAATATTTTTAAATATATACAAAACACAATTTTTTTTTTCAAAAATTCAATTAAAATTTAAAATTAAATTTTTTTAATTTATATCATTATTATGATTTAATTATTCCGAATTTAAATTCTGGGAGTGGGTGTTACGTAAAAACCATAAGTGCAAAATGTCAAACTTAGAAATTAGCATGAAGAGAGGAAGTAGGAAACATCTTCGGCATGAACAGAATCGTCCATACCAATATGATTTTCATTAGGTAACTTTTTATTTACTTTTGTTCGATTTAATTCATAATTTAATTCTATAAAAAATTAATCTTTATATTTTAAAAAAATATTTAAATTAATCCCT